CGGCTCCTCCGACGGGGGGGAAGGGGGGCGTTTTGGAATGGAAATGAGCAACGCATCTCGAAGAACAACAGTTACAAAGGTGAGTAACCGTTTTTTCTGGTTAGTGGAGGGTGGGCAAAAGGGATTTCCTGACACATGTTGTATTCTGTCTACCATTGTAATGAGTCGCATATCTCCGGCGGCACTCAGACAGTAGTGTCCAGTGGCTAGCAACTCGGGTGATAGTCCTCTTCAGTGGTAGCTGAAGTTAATCTAAGTTGCAGTCTTGCATGTTGCACCATGTACTTGTAGGCTGCTGTATGGTCCAGTAACCTCAGGCTTACCCGGATCATATGTGAAGAATGCGATTGGTGATCCCAATGAAGATGCTGAATTGTCTGGAACCACTGGCATGGGAAAAATGTACTAGATGAATTTGTTGTGACCAAAGATATCAAAGATCGGTCTCATTCCTCCTTTGGACTTGGAGGTCAAGAAATACAGGGACTAAAATCCTTTTCTGCAAAGATGATGAGGAACCTGCTCTATAGCCCCCCAGAGCACACAGGGTTTGTACCTGCCACAAAAGCAATGACTCGTGAGAGGGCTCCCTGAAAAGGTACAGAGTAGGGGGATAGGATCTTAATGGCATAACCCAATCCCATCTCCTGTAGAACCTGTTCCTGAATAAATGAGACTGGGATATGATGATCACAACTGGAGCCATGCTCTCAAAACTTAAGTCAAATAGATTGTCCATTCAGACAGGAGAGGATGGGTGGTTTGGCTAAAATTAGATCCAGAAACTAACTGTAAGGATGTCTTGGCCACTAACAGGCCTTCTGTAACAAAGGCTTTGAACTCTGTCTGGAGGATTCTGGTAATTTATCCTCAACTTTGGACATAGTGTCCCAGTTCACAAAAACCATACCTTGGCCACAGAGCTTGCTGGTTGGCAATATGCAGTTTGCAAGAATGAAGTCCAATAGATCTCCCTCCTCATCAAATCTAACCTTTTCTGTTGTCTTTCTTTAGGCATAGACATGTATCTCCCCTGTCTGTCTCACTCATTTGCTGCCATCACAACACGGGAATTTGGAGCTGGATGAGGGAAAAAACATTCAAAACCCTGCATAGGCACATAATATCTATTAGTGAGTTTTGTTGTGAGCATTAACAAAGCCAGGATATTTCATGCAATTTAGCAGGCTGTAATATCACTTTGTTTATAGAGAGTGCTTCTCTCGCAGGAGCCATGGCTGGAGGATATCCAGCAGTTTATGGGTGTTTTTCTGAACAAACTTGGCATGAAGACTTAAGGCCAATGCTATGCTTCTGAGCAGATATTATAATGACCTGAAATCCTCCAGTTCTGAAGATGAGGACTCTGATACCATTACATCATCTGGTGATAAGGAGTAAGGTGGAGGTGGGACAAACAGAATTCCTTGTGGGATAGCATCCAACAGTCCGATTCAGGAAGCTCCAGTGTAGCTGGAACTGCCTCAGCCAGTGGCTGCAGAACTGGTGGTTCCTGGAGGGACGCTACCAACAGTACAGGTGATCGTGCTCTAGAATGAGCAGATGGCTGGGACTTAGCCAACTGGGGGATTTCCAAGAGATTCCATGGAGGCCATTGCAGATAAGGATATGGCATCGGAGGCCAGTAGGAACTAAGCCAGGGGCACTTGTCTCTGTGGTGGTAATGGTGCCAATCCCGGTACTGACCATGATTCCCATTGTCTCAATGACCTTCAAGATCGAAAGCGATAGGAGGAAGCAGGGTGAGATGCCTCCAAACTCCACTTTGAGGACCCTTCCAGATAATCTGATGGTAGCAGGGGAGCTGCTCCTGATGGGGCCACCAAATGCCCTGCATCATCTGTGTTCCAACCTGACATTGTCATTAGTACAGGAGGAATAGTCAATGGCTTCTGACCACTTGTACCAGCCTCACACTCATATTTGGCCCTGGAGCAGGCATTGAAGCTGGTCTCAGTCCTGCCAGATGCAGACTACATTATAATCAATGTCTGTATAAAAGATTCTGTCCCCATTGGTGATCCCCTCAGTGCCAATGAGGAAGACGGCTGCACCTCTAGACCGTAGGTAAACTGCAGGGTGGAGGACATTGCTGTAAATAACAATAATTCTGCCCTGGTTCAGATGGAACTGAGGACACCACAGATAACACTACTGCAGTCAATTGTTCCTGAATAAGCAGCAAGTCAGGACAGACAGGCACAGCAAATCTGTTGCCTGGTATACAATTGGTGTGGAAACAGACAATGTTCCTTGGTACTGGATTCCTCAGATGTCCCCAAGGCAGTACCAGAGTCGACAGTATGGAGTACCCCTGGTCCTGCAATGGAACTGTTGAGAGGGTCGACAGCCGAGCTCTAGCCCACATACCCGCAGACTCATGGTACTAGTTGTACTTTCCCTACACAGAGAAGATGAATCTCCTTGTAGTCTGGAATGCCCCCAGTTCATTTTCTGGGTTCTTTTTCTTGGGGGACCTGATGAAGGAGAGCATTCCCTCTTCTTTCTGGGCAAGGAATCTGTGCTCAGTCAAGAAGTCAGGTGCTTTTTTAGGAGCCAGACACTCCTTGATTGTTCCTGTTACTGAGGCAAGCCTCATGGCCCGCTCAAGAAGCTGCTGCTTTAATCTGAAGTCTCTAGCCACCTGAGTTCTCTCTTAAAGGAGTTACAGGTGAAGCGCCTTTCCTTCATGTCCCCTTCTCTGAGGCACATAAGTGTGAGTGTTGCTGTTGGGGATGGCTACTCCACAAAAAGGACAATGTTTAAACTACGGGAGAGCATCCCACTGGGAAAAACTACCTATCTAACTACTACAAACTAAAAGTACTACTACTAACTACAGTAAAACCTGCTAAGAGTGACTACTCGTGAGAGTTAGCAAAAGTGTCTCTTGTGAGGTGGTCTCTCTACAAAGGTTTGCACACCAGAGAGCAGCAGCTGCTGGAAGTAAGGAAGATTGGTTTCTTCTACAGGTTTGTTTTTATAGATAGGAGTAAGAAAATGTGGTCGCTGGTTGCAGATGACAGGTCGTCGCTCTTCACATTTTCTTCACAGTTAAATTATAGGGGGGAAAAACATTCCGTGGTCTCTGCAAGTAGTCGCTTGTGACAGGTGGTTGCTAAGGCAGGTTTTACTGTATATGCAAAAAAGATCACCAAAAACAGTGAAGGCAAGAGTGAGGTAAGGTCACACCAAGTGCTAGCTGCTGGCGGTAGGAAGGAACTAAGGGGAGGGTGTTGCTGCCCTTACATAATCATGGGAGGGGCACTGACAAAAAGGGCATAAGTGCCGCCCCTACAGTTACTGCTAGGCAAAATTCTCTAACTTCGGTGAGCTGTGCATGCGCACACCTGAAACGAATGTCTTTAACCACTCAATGAAGAACCTGAATGCCTGGCCAGTACCTCTGTCTTCATAGATTCATTTATTCCAAGGCTCTGAGTAAGTTTCCCAAACCTGAGGAAGAGCTCTCTGTAAATTGGAAAGCATGTCTCTCTCTCACCAACAGAAGTTGGTCCAATAAAATATATTACTTCACCCACCTTGTCTCTCTGATATCCTTGGACCAAAACGGCTACCGCAACACTGCATAAAACAGGCCATGGAACTTCCTAAAACATTCTTAGAGCATATCTTTTAGAAAAACATCCAGTCCTGATTTAAAAATTGCCAGCGATGGAGAATCCACCACAACTCTTGGTCAATTGTTCCAGTGGTTAATTACTCTCACCAGTAAGAATTTTCACCTTAATCCTGCCAGTCTATATTTATCTAGCTTCAGCTTCCAGCTATTGGATCTTTCTCTACTAGATTGAAGAGCCTGGTATTAAATATTTGTTCCCTGTGGAGATACTTAGACTGCAAATTAAAGTTGGGCTACAATTGAAAATGGCATAAATTAGATTAGGAAGTAGAACAGTAGACCCTCAGAATTACAAACACTAGAGTTACAAACTGACCAGTCAACCCCCACCTCATTTGGAACCGGAAGTACGCAATCAGGCAGCAGCAGAGACGGAAAAAAGCCAATACAGTACAGTACTGTGCTAATTGTAAACTACTTAAAAAAAAAAGGGAAAGTTTACAAAAAAAAAAATTGACTAGCCAAGGAAACTGTTCCTGTGCTTGCTTCATTTAAATTCAGATGGTTAAAATCAGTGTTTTTCAACAACCCTAACGTTTTGTTCAGAGTCACGAACATTTCAGAGTTGTGAACAACCTCCATTCCCAAGGGGTTTGTAACTCTGAGGTTCTGCTGTATTAGAGAGAGAGGTGTGTGCTCTCTTCAGTTATGGACAACATTTGATCAACATTTCTGTATGGTTTAAATTTCCATTGTCTTTCTTTCAGGAATGGCAGCGGTAAAGCCGTCTCAAATGTGATCATAGACAAACAGAATTCTGATGATGAAGATGATCAGTTTGTAGTGGAGGCAGCACCACAGCTACCTGAAATGCCAGAAATGGAAACGGTCTGTTAATATAACAAAACCCCAGCATTTTTGCTCAAATGTGTGTTCAGAGTTCCCTTAATGCTGTCCAATTTTTTTTTATTTGAGCAGTTTCTTAGCTGGGATGCATGCATGCTTTAGATCACAGCGATATAAGCTTCCTTATAACTAAAAGCTTTTACTTTTTCTTATGTAGGAGCCAATAGTGGAGCTGGATGGTGATGAGAAGCATGGTAAGTTTCTCTGGCTCTTCTCTGTTCTTCTGTGATTCATACTCTACACAGGATGTAAAAGAATCTTAAATAGATAATGGGAATAACATTTCTTGATCATGTTTTGATCTTGCATCTTGAGGGTATGTACTTCTAATTTATGCAATAACTTTAAAAAACAAAAATACAGAAACAAGCTATATAGCAAAAGCAATCTGTTCTTATTGTAACAGGGTAGCAGGATCTACAATCCAGGTAGGGATACAGATCTGTTAATGCATCCTGTTAGCAAGAGTTTAGAACCCTGCTGAGTAAATTCTGCTAACTTATTATGGTAGGTACAGCTGGTAAAGTCCATGGAGAACCAGCATATTATCAGATCAAAGTGAAACTGAACTTTGGTATCAGTATGTGTTTGCTGCCAAGTTTTAAAGAACTGGCAGAAATCACTGACTAAGCATCTTGAACCAAAGTTTGTTGACGTGCTCAACCAGCTTTTTACAGCAATAGCCTCAGGTGCAGAAAGAATATTTTCTTCATTTCAGTTTATTCAGCTGGTTCAATTCAATGACTAATTCATTCATAGTTGAGAAACTGGTTATGAGTTGAAAAAGCAGGGAAGTTTGTTTTCCTTCCCTAATCTATGAATAAAAACTACGGATGCGAGGATAAGATCTACTAGTTCTAAAATCTTGAAGGACATGGTGACCAGAAACAATTTGTTCTCTTCATTAATTACAGATAATACTTCCCTTTGTTTATTAAATTAGTTTTAAATGGAAAACATCTTTGATAAACATTTTTTCTTACATATCAGCACGTTTAAAGTAATTTCATTTAATAAATAAAATGCCGTTTTTGTACATTTTAATTGAATTTGAATTTCCATCCAAATAGAGATTGACACGCATTGCAAGTAAAAAAAAATAAAAAAAATTATTCATCATCTAGCAAATAAGAAATGCATCATTCACATTCACCATTTTCTAACATAAAATATAAAACTTAAGAATCTAAATACATATAAGTTAAACTATATAATTGCTTAAATAAATGTGTATAATATAGTATATGCTCCTGGTTAGCAAAATAAGCACCAAAGTTAGGAGAATGGCTATATTTAGTTGCAAATCAACATGTTTCAATGGTTACCAACCAATGAGAATCAACCTTTCTCTTTAGGAAGATAACTAAAAAGTACAAATGCAAAACAGTATTAAAATCGAAGATTTAAATCATGGTTTCCTATTTTGATTATTTAAATCCTGATTAAAATTGGTGATTTAAATCAATCCACCAGGCAGCTAGGCTTAATTAGTTTTGTTTTGCAGTTGTGACTGAGTTACCAGTAAAGCAAAGCCCAAGAAGGAGCTAAGTCTGGTATTATTATACAGCCCATGTAGACTTTCTTTTGAGTGTGGTCGGAACTGTCAGGGCACACTGATATAATAAGCAGCACATGTTATCAGGAACTAAGCCTGTTTTCCTTTTAAATTATAATAATGCTGAATAGAAACTTAACTTCTGAGAAGTGTCTCCTGAAAAACAATGATCTAGATATGAGTTCTAATCTGAGCTCTACCACTGATCCATTTTGTGGCCTTGAGTGAGTCACTTAACTTCTGTCTCTGCCTATCAGGGACTGTGGTTTTGTGATTGCGGTAAGCCACCAAGGGGTAAATTCCCATTTTACACTGAGACAGTGCATCTACATTGGAGTTTTGCATCAGTGTAGCTACCCCTGTACAAATATCTCTATATAGACAGGCTTTGGGATTGGAATGAGAATTGCCTAGTTTACAAAAGCTCCAGTTCAGCAAAGCACTTAAGGGCTTGTCCACACTTAAAACGCTACAGTAGCATAGCTGCACTGTTGTAATTCTTCAGTGTAGAGACTACCTACTCCGACAGGAGGGACTGCACAGCAGAGGTAATCCACCTCCCTCAGAGGCAGTAGCTAGGTTGACCTAGCAATGTCTACATGGGGACTTAGGCCTGGTCTACACTACGGAATTAGGTCAACATAAGGCAGCTTATGTCGACCTATTTATTTCAGTGTCCATACTACAGCCTTGTTCCCGCTGATCTAAGTGCCCTGCTACACCTACATAATAACTCCACCTCCACAAGAGGCGTAGGGCTTATGTCGATGTAGTTAGGGTGATGCAGCATCCGCGTGGACACTGTGAGTTACTTACATTGGCTGTTGGCTGTCATTCTTGTCAATTTCATGGCTCCATGGTGGAGCTGTGAAACTGACAAGAAAACTGCTCACAGCTTGAGCTATTACCCAAGGGTGGGTGGGTGGCTCCAGCTAGAGCCTGGCTGTCCCCCAGGCTCCTGTCCCCCAGTCCAGCTGCTGCGCTGACTCCCTACTCTCTGCCAGGAGCCCCGCGACACCAAGGTTCCCAGCTCGCCTCCCCTGACACACTGGGCCCTCAGCTCCCCGCTGGGAACCTGGCAGCCACCCAGGCTCTAGGCGAGGAGCTCCAAGTGGGGAGCGGGGAGCCAAGAGCCTGGGGGGTGGGGGGGTTGGGGCAGATGGGCTCCCAGCAGGGAGCTACACAGAGCTGAGATCCTGGGCTCTCAGGCCCCCTTAAGTGTTCCTGGTGAGGAAGCACACCACCAACAGAAGGAGGACAGTGTGGACATGAACCACTGCAGTAATTGCTGCGGTAGCTGTAAGCCAATCTAAAATAATTGGTAGTGTAGATATGCCTTTAGATCGGCTTAACTAAACCACTCAGGGGAGTGGATTTTTCACACCCGAGTGACATAGTTATGCCAACCTAATTTTCTGCTATAGACCAGGCCTAACTCCTGCTGGTACTTAGGCGTCTAAGTCACTTAAACGCTTTTGAAAATGTTATCCATATTTAAATGTATGCACATGCTTAGGTCTCATTGATTTCACATGCTTAAGTGCTTAGCTGAATCAGGGCTAAAACTAGCTAATGTTTGTATAGCGCTTTGAAAACATAACATACTATCTAGGTATCAAGTAGTGTTGTTGTTTCTCACAGCCATAAGAATGTTGTATTAGAAGTGTGAGAAAAGATGAGAAAAATCATTTGAGAACTGATTCTGGGCTAGCCCAGCAATCTGCAGGGAGTTAGTTTCAGACTTCATATTCAGTAGCCCAGCATGGTCTGTGTGTGACCACTTCAGGTAACAGGAAAAATGAGTTGTCATTACATAGTGTCATTTAAATGAGAATTTCGGAACGACACTGTACCTGAATGAAAGTATAGAAAACAGTGCAGAAAACCTCCAATATTACTGCATTGTTATGCTAAAAATGAAATAAAGTGCTTTTGAAGGGGAAAAAACCCTTTCAACTGTTTGATTGCTGAGTCTTAACAGACTACATTTCTAGATGTATAACTCTATTTTATAGGGGAATAAATTAAATGTCTCTTACCTAACAATACCTGAGTGCAGTTTCCTCTTCTACAATACACACCCGTATAGGAAGGCAGGTAATACCTTGTGTTGCTTTAGGTACCAACGATAACATTAAAAGTTGCAGCAAAAAACAGAATCCTGCAAATTCTGATCTTTATAGCTATAAAAAGCCTGTTGGGCAGTGCACCATGGAAATATAATCTATAATTCTGTCAGTATGAATAAAGTATCCAATTCAGTATCCAGTTCAGATGGTTGTCTCTTTAGGCTGAGTTCAGGAGACCCGTTTTGTCACTAAATAATTTAAACGTTCTTGTGGCATGTTACTTTAGTCAGCAGAGTGTATACCTCTGCATGACTGACCGATTTAGAGTAAACTTTGAAAAAGTGTACAAATAAATCTGCACAAGCAAGTTGGTTCTAAACATCATTACTGCTTATTCTTTATCCCAAATCTCATTCATTTAGTTTCTCAAAACCTAGACTCCATTGTAATTTTACTGGACCTGGCTTATTTGAGAGAGGTGTTTTCCTAAATGTCCATATGTAAATTTTGCACTTTGTAAAGGAAGGGCATAGAGATTAGATGATCCATGTATGTAGTCTGTACAGCATTTGGCGGATTTTTCTGAATGAAAAGTGCTATATAAATGTAAGAGATTGTTATGATAACATATAACTCAAGAGTGTGGCTCTACACCTTTAGTGAGCTATACTTTCACATAGTTTTGTGTTGATTTAAATAAATTTGAAAAAATTAAAATTAAAACCACCTTTTCTCTTTGATATTTTTGCAAAAGGAAGGTTTACTTTAACTATCACCTACTTTGGCTGGTTCAGGTTGCCTTTAGGTCAACAGTTCAAAGGCTAGAATAGTAGTCTTGGAAATACACTGTTATAACATGAGGTAGTTTGTTTGATAAAAGTAATTCGTTTGGGGATGGTGTCCTTTGGGCTGTTCCCATTTATCCTTCTCCTATCCATTACCCTCCAGCCACGCAGATTTGGATGTGGCTCCTCCCATAAAGCCTTTATCCTTGCTTTGACCACCCGGAGAATGGGTTCAATTTAAGAGTTTAGATGTTCCCTCTTTGGCTGTTCAACGCAGAGGAGCAAAAGATTCACCTTGGTATGTGCCTCAGGAAGATGAACGAAGCCCAGTAGGCCTCTATTATGATTCTATGACCTGACTTGATTTCTTTCCTCTCCCCCATCTCCTCTCTGGTTGTGCTGTGTAATGTACTTGTCACTACACAATCATGACATCGTATAGAGATGGGATAGAGTAATGTACTAGAATACAGTTAAAGCTGGTCTAAAATCAGTTTTCATTTAACAGAATTAAGTGACCAGGTTTTAGATTAGTTTTCAGATTATTTACAACAGTGTTTTAGTGTCAGTAACCAGCACTAAAAGAACATTGATCTTCAACAGGTGGTCTTGTAAAAAGAATCTTGGAAACTAAGAGAGATTATGAGACATCGCAACAGTCAAAGTCTACAGAGAAGGTAATGTGATAATGGGCTACAAAGACTTGTCATTCACAAATGTTTCAGTAGTGACCTCTCTTTCGTCTGTGCATTGTTTTTTTCTTCCTAGTTTTCTTTTCCTTACTTATCTAGTTATTATCCTTGATTTCTTAAATTCATCTTTGTGTTTCTCAAATTATGTCAAGCTTTCCATATTAGTCTTTGCCTTTCTCCCTTTTTTCATTCTGTTTTTGTATTTGTTACCGTACTCCTTTTTCATGTCCTTTATTTTCATTGTTAGCTGGAAAATGCCAAAAAGACAGGACAGGGAATTAGGAAAATAAGTGAGTCTCAGAAGATAGTGACATCTCTCATTTTGCTGCTTAGCAAATCATGCTCTGGTCAGAGCTCTATAATTGAATTAATCAAGAAAGCATCTTTGCAGCAAGAGAAGTCAATGAGTTTTATTAATTTCAAGCTGCTGTACTTGTAATACTGCTTCAGTTGGGAACTATATGAGGCGTGCTCTGTGTGTTTGCATAGCTGTAATGTTTTGATTCCAGTCTTAGTTGTCCTTTGGGCATTTGTAGAGCAGCATCCTGTTGCCCAGCAACAGTTTCATGGGCTGCTAACCAAAATAGGATCTTAGGATACTATTAACCTTATAAAGTATAATCAGATGTTGGTTTTCTGATATTGCTTCATGTCTCCAAAGCTATATTGATTGCAGCCAGTACTGAAGTGTAATTAATGTAGTGTGTGTCTTTAGCCTTTATACTGAAAATCCTTTACTGTTTGAGCCTTGGCAAGGTCTTGTTGCAAATGCCCATCGGACTGCATGATAACGTTTTAGATTGATTTTCCTGATCAACCAGCCATTGAGAAGGCTAGTAAATTACTGGGCCAACTTGATGAGCTAGAGAAAGACCTTGGGGGTCACTAAAATATATGTTGGCAGGTACCAGTATAAGAACCTAGACAGGTAGACTTTCATGTGCTTACAAGTAGGCACTTGTAACTCCTAATTCTCACCTGGAAAGTCCACAAACCTATTTTTACTTCAGTTTATCCTTAATCTTTATTCATAACTATTTTCATTGGGCAAGAACTTCAGTAGTGACCTGGGATTTTGTGTGCCTCAAATATTGGGTGCCCAACTTGAAATTTGCTGAGCACCCACCTTCTGAAAATCTTGCCCTTATTAAGGTATCTCAGGTTGGGCACCCAAAATCACTAGTCAGTTTTGAGGACCTTGGCCATTGGGTTTCTTTTGTCATATCAGAGTTAATAATTTCACACTTAGTGGCAAAGTGTATGGCTATAGTTTTAATATTAGTCTCAAAGATACCTTGAGTCATGAAGGCTGTCTGATGACTTTGTGGTTGATTCATTGTTGTGGGCAAGTATCTTGGGAAGCTTTTGAACACTATAGTCCCATTCTAGTCACATATCTCTTTTTTAATTTGATGCAATAAGGCTGGCTGCTGGCATCTTGGTGGATCAGGAACAAAATTCATTAGAGAGTATAAATATCTCCAGATGACTGAAAAACAGACACACCTGAAGAACTGACCTTATGGAGAGCTATTATGGCTCAATAGTGGTCTCTAGTTTCTGTGCCAAAAGTGGTAGTGTTAACCTGAACCCTTTGAAGTGTAATCTTCAGGTTGTCCATAGTTAAGACCTGAGATTGGTATATCTGTGCTTAAAAAATAAACACAGTTTGCCTTGCTGTCTGGAGGCAGTAGATTATGGTGTCAGAAAGGCCTGGATCTACAAATAGACATAGGGGTTGCAATGCCTAACTTGCTGTTACCTAAAAATCACTGAAATCCACAACGCCTGCATTAGGCCATGTTCTCCCTATACAATGAATGGGGGGAGGCATGCAGTTTAGGTGCCTAAATCCCTTCATGGATCTAGGGCAGAGGAATCAGGATTTACTTTCTTTCCTCCCCATGTTGGGACTGTCAAGGAGGAGTGCAGTTCCTCAGAGGGAAGGAGCATCTTTATGACTGATGCGTGGGACTGTGTCCAGCCAGCCTTTCTTGGCCGCAGGAGAGTCCCACAATGCGGCAGAGGAAAAGTGAGGTCAGACAGTGCAATGAATGCCTTCTCAAACAAGAAAACCCATTCAATTTTTCCAAATGGCAACCCATTATCAGCAGACTTTGCTGTGGTCAAACTCCTCTTTTATTCTACTTTAAAACGCATTGCAAAGCACATAGAAGTGTAGGACCGGAAGGGACCTCAAGAGGTCTTCTAGTCCAGTCCCCTGCACTCAAGGCAGGACTAAGTATTATCTAGACCAGGATAGTAAAAAGGTGGACCGCAGGCCAAATCTAGACCAAAAGACGAGTTTGAACAGACTGCAAAATCTTTTTATTTACTTCTTATCATTATTATTTTTTAAATTATTTTTAGCCTCTCATTCTCTCATAATGCAATCTCCAATACATTGTACTGTGAATTGATGAGTGACTGGTTCTCCTTAATTCCTTATTTGCTTAATTTGAGCTATCATCATTTCCACTTATAAAAAATTGTATTTTCCTTTTTAAAAAATTACTTTATGCTCATAGGCTCATTTACACTGTTGAAAGCTGTAGTCCTGCCTCCGGTGCTTTCGACGTTTAATGGCTTTGTGTTTAAACATGGCACCAGAAAAAAAAAGTACACTTGATACCAAAACCGTTCATTTCAGGAAGAGTGAACCAATGCTTACTGTTTTATTTTGTACAACATCCAGAGGCTTGACCACTATGTTTCATTTATACAGCGGTTTGATTTTATTTTTCATGTAATGCATTTAAAAATATAAGCAATGGGGTATATTACTAATGCACAGCTTGCATGAGTTTGTTGAACAGGGGCACTTGTGGTGTGAAAAATGTTTCTCTAGAGTCTGGACCTTGACTACACCTTGACCAAGAAATTTGGACCTTGACAAAAAATAATTGACTACCCCTGATCTAGCCCAATACTAAATGTACATAAATACTATCCCTCTCTTGTTCTTACAGTAAAGTCTATTGTTAACAACAAATTTTAGTAAAAGTTCCTATATACAAAGTATATAGGTCGTCTTGAACTAATAAGGCTGCTAATTTAATATCCATTGGCAGGAATGAGCTCTGTCTGTATACAAATGCTTAGAGAATGGAAGGGACGAGTGAGTGACATTCTGCTCTGCAATACTGCGTAATTAGTTACCAGCAGTGTACACTGAACTTGTATTGGATTTTTTTTCTGTACACGTTACCATTCCTAGATCTGTAACTAGATGGTGCTGTTCAATCATCAAATCTGATAAACTAGATTTGATGAAAACTATCAGGTCATTTAGTTCATTCTTCTGCCTGGGCGGGATTGTTCTGTAGAGTATTTTGTCCTGTGAAGGTAAGCAGTGGGACTTTATCCATTTCCTGTGAGAAGCTGTATAACACCTAATAGATTTCACTGTCAAGAGACTTTTGTTTGGTAATCAGCCTAAATCTCCTTTTGAATAATTTCATTCCATTTCTCCTGATTAAATCTCTTTAAACCGTGGCAAACAAATCTGCTCCCTTCTACCCATTCACATTTTTCAAATGCACATGGCAGTTGTATCCTTCCTCAGTGATCATTTAGTCATACTATATATCTTTATATCATATGATCTCTAAATACCTGCCTGCTAGTGTACTGGGTCTTTATCGCTACTGCTTTTCAGATCACATCAGAGACATCGTTATGATCCAGAGAGAAGCTGTTATTTTTCTGACAATAGAGAAGAACTGTTTGAGGGGGAGATTAAAAGTGCTTGGTAGCAGTATAGTTGAGAGGGTATTGGATTTCAGGAAAGCATTTGCCTTAATTTGAGGAATTAAGAAACTGAACGTGTGGTGCAAAAAGAAATAGTATTAAAAATATCTTCACTCAGGCACTGTAGTAAGAGTACATATCTTTCCTGATGTTGCTAAAACTACTCCTGCTGACAGAAGAACGTTTCTTCTTTCCATATTCAATTCTTTAGACTTTAAAGCCTAAAGCTGTTACTTAGCAAAGATCAGAAAAATTGTCTGTTCGTATTTTGAGTGCTGTTTATGTGCATTAATTTATTATTAGATATTGTTTTATTTTAAAAATCCAATCTATAAAGTGGGTAAAGATGGTAAATTAATGCTTAGGATTCAGCAGTGTTATGTTTTGACTAGAGGATATTAGACACCATAACTTTTAACTGTTGATTGTAATGTAGCATTTATTTATTCATGGCTTCATATGAAATACTTTCCATGCCCACTCTCACAAACATACCTATGCTTTCTTGAAACACTGGTGTTAGAAAAAGGTTAAATCTACAAATGCAATAGCTATGTAGTGAAAGTACTTAAAATAATATACAAATTTTTCAGGTCAAACAAAGAGGTCACCTTGGAAATACACAAGGTTTGCTATCTTGATTAGCTTCATTCAGCCTAACAAATTCCTGAAAAGACTTCTCAAATATATTTGGTTAGAACCTGACTCCTATGTTAAACAGTCAGAGAAAGAAACAGATGTTATGTTTTGTATTCCACTTCATTTATTTGATGCATGGCAAAAGTAGACAGGTTATGAAATAGAATTTTTGCTACGTGGGATCACTTACTAAAAACTCCCATCTTTGTACTACCAAAAAAGTTCACTGGCTCTGAAAAAGAAGCAATTCCGCAAGGTTTTTGCTAGAAACAAATGTATTAAATAGTTCCATAACCTGGATAAAGTTACCTTTTATCACAAATGGTGTAAAAACAAAAAATCTTATCACTTTAAGACCAAACCAATCATGATGATTGTTGATATTATTTTTGTTAAAGTTCCTCAGAATAGCATAGACTCTGAACTATGATATGGTGGATCCCCCATAAAAGCAATTAGTAATTTATACATGCAGTGGTGTAGTCATGTCAGTCCCAGGATATTAGAGAGACATGGTGAGGTAACAATTTTATAGCTGAAGAAGCGTTCTGTGTAGCTCAAAAGCTTGTCTTTCTCACCAACAGAAGTTGGTTCAA